CTCTGTTGTCTCTCTAACTATGAATTCATTAGCAGGGTAGACTGGTCCTTTCACAATGGATGATGACCAGTAAGAGAAGAAAAAAACTCTGAATTCTAAGTAGTGGAAAAAACAACAGGAAACCACTCCACCATCTTTCCCAAGTAGGCATAACATTTAACAGATAAGAAATAAAAGGAATCTGTGGAGACCCATAATTGCTGATATACTGTAGCACTTAAAATAAACACACACACACATATTTTATATATATATATATATATATATATATATATATATATATATATAAGTAAATGGATTTATTTCCATCTACCATCCTGAATATTCAAGAAATCTTGTCAGAAAAATGTGTCCACCTGTATACCATAGGGAAAACTGTCATTTGTTAGATCTGACATGCCTTGACCTCTTGCCCACATTGGACCTCCTGATCAAACAATGCCAGAATACTGCCTTTGAACACATATTTTCTGATTTTCAAAATATACGTATCTGGTTCTGTTTCATATACTAACATAAAGAAAGACAATTTTTTAGAAAATCTGACATATTTTTAATTTATTTGTTTAAATATTATTTTTTAAATTGATACTTATATTTGAGTAGAAGCTGTGTTCATATTATTAAACAGTATATTTATTTATTTACATTTACGAGCCTGCAGTTAAGTTTTTAAATTCTTATAATTTTCTTCTTTTCTGGACATAAATTATGTAGAAATTGTCTGAGTGTTCTGTATATCTGAGTGTTTTCAACCATTATCTTTTAGCCCCTATCTAAGATTATTTTTATAACGGCTAAAATGTATAGGCAAAAGCACTTGGATGTACAGAACATTCAGACAATTTCTACATAATTTATGTCCAGAAAAAAAGAAAATTATTAGAACACAAGAAAAATGAAATAAAAAAAAATTAATTGCAGTACCTTGTCAGTCATTTTTAATGAAACTTGTATGAAAGAAGGATTGCTACTCTAATATTTCAATTTTATTTATATATATATATATATATATATATATACACACACACACACACAGACACACACGGTGTGACATGTAAATTGTCAGCCATTTTATATTTTTAATTTTGCACATGCATGTTGTTTGATTTTGTCGATTGCACAATATAGTAGGGTCAGTTGGGCACCATCTATGAGAAAAAGCACACCATGACACAATACACTCCACCAGAAATTTGAAAACACCATGCTCTACTGCTTGGCATTTGTATCGGAAGCTCCAATACAAACATTTCAGAATGTTTGGGTGTCAATCTGAGTACAGTGCAGAGGATTCAGAAAGAGTTGAATGAGTCTAATGGTGATTCTGAAGGTACAGCAGCTCAGAAATCTCACTCTGATCATTCTGATAGGAAAGGAACTCCTAAATTTGTTGGTGAGGGCCTCAGACTCAACACAGAAGCCTACATCAAGTGCCTTGAGGAGGTAATGCTTCCCTGGGTCAAGAGGGTGGCTGCTTGAAAGCCTTATGTCTGGCAATAGGACTTTGCACTATACCATACAAGCAAAAGAATCTTTCTGCAATCACATCACCCCTTACATCTGGCCTCCTCAGTATCCAGACTGCAACCCCGTTGATTATTATGTGTGGGGTGAGAGAACAACAAAACTCCTTGTAAAACTGAAGATGAACTAAAGACGATTATGGCAACATTCAGTAAATTGAACAAAGAGACTGTCCAGAAGAGTTACAGGAGATTCTGAAGTCGTCTGGAGGCTGTGGTTGAAGCCAATGGCAATTTCTTGAATAAATTTACTCTTTAGTATTTCAAAATATTTTTGTGTAATTTTGGTAAATATATCTGTTAAAATGAGATGTCAGTGTCATTTTCATCTTTGCATAATTTAGATGACAATTTATTCATCGCACCCTATATATATATATATATATATATAGATAATATTAGTGGAAAATATACATACATATGCAAAATATATATAAAAAATTCCCATACATGTATATTTTCAGAAAAAAAAAAAAATTTTCCAAGAGGAAGGATCCAGGTAGAACTCAATGTCTAGGACAGAGTAAGGATATAATAAAAAGGCTTAAACACTAATATTCCATGGTCATAATTTATTCCATTGGAATCGTAAATACGATCCAAATCATCAGACCTACAAATTCAAAATGAAAACAGAAAAAACCAACTCCGAAATCAAAACAGAATTTAGAGAAAGTGTAAGTATGAGGAGGAGGGACATGAAACCTTAACAGAGAGAATTTTTAGGAGATGTGGGGGATTTAAAAGAGGAGAGAAAGAAAGTCGACGGATGTCTAATGCATAAAGATACATTTCGTGGTGACATATACACACCATAGACAATTAGGATAGGAGGGGGGGAGAGAAGAGGTGGGGGAGAGAGATGGGACGAAGGAAAATAAAATTGTGTTTACTTAAAGGGCCGCTTTGTAATTGAGAAAATTAGTATCGACTACAGGTTAGAAATCAAATATAAATATATGAAGATGAATATAACGATTGTCTAATTTAGCAAGGACCAAATATTTCTATGTTCAAAAACACATACTAATACACACAAAAAAACATATACAAGTAGGTACATACACTTAGGCATGTACTCACACACACACACCCAGACATACGTGTACATACACATACATATATATATATATATATATATATATATAAAAGACCTAAAAATATATTCACATATCCACACATACACATATTCATCTATATTCATATACACACACTTTTCACATACATATACACGCATACATATGCCCCCATGCATATATTCATACATACATACTTATACATACACATACACATACATATACATACACATATACATATATATACATATACCCATACATACACGCACATACATATACACACACATATATATATATATATATACACATGCAAATACATACACACCCTTACACATGTATATATATACACATGCAATATATATATATATATATATATATATATATATATATATATATATATATATGAACCTAGTGATTCAGACAAACCTACCTAGGTTTCACCTAAACGGATCGTCAGGGAAAGTTGGCTTTCATGTTTGTAGCTCTTTCTTTTTTTAAAACCTTTTTTTCCCTCGAGATTGATTTGATTATTGGCAAGTCAAAAATACGAGGGTTTTTCAAAATGAGTATAGTTATCTATATTTGTGTGTATATATATATATATATATATATATACATACATGTTTCATTAAATAATATAGACAAGCGTTGTCTATTTTATGTAAATTCTTTTCATAATGTCTGATAAGCTTAATAACATCATTAAACGAAGAAAGAAAATCACAATATTGATACATATTTTTTAATCCAATCTAAGCTTTTGGCTTACATAAGCCATTATCAAAGATGTCAATTACTGTACAACATATTAAGCAATATATGGACAAGACAGTGATGATAGTCTGTGATTGTTTACATGGATTATATCCTAGCAATGATAAACACATGCATATAAGACGCTAGAAGCGAAAATTGCACCGAAGCTCATGACGTCACACATGACCACGCGAGAGTGAATTTGAGAAGTATTAAGTATACAAAGCCGTTGATATAAATCAATGGTTTCTGTTACCAATTATAGACATTTAAGGATATTTTTAGAGATCCCATAGTTGATTTTGTTTAGGTTAGGTTTCAACTGTTTGATGTATATTGCTTCAAGGATTTTTAGTTTTTGTCTATTGTTTTCATGTTGAAGTATAATTGTGTTTTCGACAAGGATTTTACAGAATTGTGTGTGCGGCCAGGCATGTTGTTTTAAATGCCTAAAAATGTTAGAGTTTTCATTCAAATGTAGTGTCAAATATTAAACAGAAAAATTATTTTTTGATATCAGAATTTAATGTACATTATTTACACTATTTATATGTGGCTTATTGTCCTTATCTTTGTTATTGTTATCACAATGTTTCCACCATTGTGCCCTCTGGCCTTCATCAGGTATTTATTGATCTAGGTAACCTATAGGTAATACTGAACTGAACTCCTTATTTAATCTACAGGAATAGACTGTTCTCCTTCTACTGCCTATATTTAGAATATCTTGCCTGCTTTTTATTTTTAGTACATCTCAGTTATTGCTTGTCCTGTCTCACAATTACTATGTCCCCAAAATTCATGAACCATCACCTTAATCAATGAGTCTATTGTCCTATAGGACAATTCTCTGAGCAAAATTTGGAGCCTTAAAGCCAACTTATTAAAAATGACTAGACATGGGTAGTGGAAAGAGAACAGTACCCCCTCCCCCCCAAAGTAGATTAAATAAAGAGTTGAGTTAGCAATTCCCTCAGACACCTGATTAAAGGCTGGAGGGCACAGTGGTCAAAACTTTGTGATAACAACAACAAAGATGAGGACAATAGTCTTCATGTAAATAGTGTAATAATAATTCTACATCCCAGAAATTCAAACAGGAAATAATAATACACATTGCACTTATTTTTGCCTGAGGCAAATTGTGATATGACATATCTATTTAAAGAATTTCAATCATTATGTGATTTTATGGCTGACACATCTCTATGAGTTGTTAAACCATTGAGGAATGGGTGTTTTTATCATGTCACCATTTCTAGATAGATAGCCAACCGAGGTTGAAGAGTTTTTATTTGTCCATCTTTTGTGGACTTGTCATTACATATTGGTCACTGCCAACAATGACATTAAAATAGTTAACCAATTTCACTCATCTTTGTGAGTGGCTTGGCTGCTGGAAGATGGCTGTTTTTATCAAGTCACCATATCTAGAGGCTAAAGAACTTTTATCTGCTCGTTGAGGACACCTGACCTTATTACTCACACAACCATTGAAGGCTACCAAACAGTTTCACTCACAAGGTTTGGGTTGACCCATAGTGTGGTTTTTAGGCACTTCTCAATGATGCCACATACTGGGATTATCTCCTCACACCTATATTATCAAGAAATCACCTCCTTAATTAATTTTGGCCAGTGGCCACTTCACATTAAAATACTGGCTCCTGTATGATCACTGAAGTTAAGCATTGTCAGGCCTGGTCAGTACCTTACTGGGTGACCACTGAGGAATACCTGGCACTGTCAGCTTGGATGTGCAGATGGTCTAATGGATAACAATTCGTAATTGTTAATCAGAGAATTGTTAAACCATGTTTCAATTCTTGTTAGCTTCACTATATTCACTCATACACAAATACCCTTGGGAAAGATATGAATCCACCTCTTCTCCCCACCAGCTATAGGTTAATTAGTAAGACTTGTATCACTAAACCATTATTATCTAAAAAAAAAAAATCCTAAAATCTAAGAATATTTTCTGGCTTTAAATATCCTGCAAAAACGTTGATAATCCATAGAAAATGAATGAATGTCCAAATATATCCATCAACAATAATTAGATTTAAACTTGGCATTCATGTTTGGAACACCAATGTGCTTAATGACTTTGATCAAAATAAATATCAAGTAACTACATTGAATCTATAGCTTATCTACCGCAAGGAAAGTTGGTTCTCTGTGTCACACCAGAAGGTTTTTCTCGTCTGAGTCCAGCCTTCAAATCTACAAATCAACCATTTGTCCTGGCATGGAATACTGCTGCCATATATGGTCTGGTGCTTCTGCTGCTCATCTCAAGGTCCTTGACAAAATCTAAAGATGGATATGCAACATGATTGGTCCTGATCTGGCATCCCATCTACAGTCACTTTCTCATGGGTGTGCTGTGGCTTCCCTTTATCTTTTCTACAAGTATTTTCATGGCAACTACTCCAATGAGCTACTTTCACTGGTTCCCAAACTGCATGAATTTAAGTGTGCTACTAGGTTGGCATCTTGGTCCCACCCTTTCACTTGCGAAACGACTAAATGTAGCCATCTCTTCTATTCCAACTGCTTCTTATCTTGCAGACCCCGTCAGTGGAACTCCCTTCCTATCACTTACTTCCCTGATATAATCTTCAAATGTTCAAATGTGATGTCAATCAACATCTTCTGATGCCTTGACCTTGACCCCTGTCCTTCTCTTTATCCTTTTCCTAAACACCTTTCTTTACTCTTACTCTCACTCTCTGTAACCCTTTGCATCCTAGTGGCACTCATGCATTGCTTGGGGTGATTTGCTTTAAAAAAATTAAAAAAAGAAAAAGTAAAATGTTTTCTGGATTTCTTGTTTATTTTTATTAGCTCAGGAAAAAAAAACTTCAAAAGACTCAAATATTTTCTATGACATGAAACTTCCACTCATGATTTGATCCTCAGTAAGATTTAGAAGTGTATATCTACAATAGTAATGAGTAGATCTTCAATAGTAATAAATGCACTTGACATGGTGGCCCAAAAGTTGGTGATGAGAGATTGTCTCCTGTACAATTTTAGTCTCAAGAGAAAAATAGAAACAACCTGTAAAATGTATAAATCACATGAATAAAAATAATAAAACAACAGATGTCATATGTTTTCATTAGTTCCTGACCATTGACAATCCCTATTTTCATGACTTTTTCCATTTTCAAAATGCAAACTGATTTTCAAAATTTCCTAAGACAAATTTGAGATTAAAAATTGCCAATTTTGGTACTTTATCCTCAAATTGTTTTTGGTCATTGCCAGAAAAGTTCAGAGAGTGATGGAGTAGAAGTAAAGAAAGTGGGCAGTGCCTTAAAACAAAATGAAGCCTTGCATAAATCTATCAGATTCTGGTGTTAGTAGTAAGAAACAATAAAAATATTTAACTTCTTGGGGATGTGTATTTATATTTAGTGCAACTTGTCATAGATAAAATTATTTCAGGTTGGCTATCATATGAGGAAATCTGTTAGCCTCAGAGACTGGTTTGAAGAAGCTTCTATAGTCATTCCTAGTGATTATTCTGAATGACTGAACACTGCTTTTCCCTTGTATTGATTAAAGAAAATGACTCAGACCAAGTCCAGACAAAATACTAGTAAAATAGTCTTTAGGAATGTTTCAGTTGGATGGAAAATGTTTGTAATTCTTGTCAATTATTTTATTATCTGTTCGAATGTACTGTGTTGATCTTATGTCTTTTTAAATTGCTTTTCTCATCTGATTTTCAATTTTTGAAAAAGAACAATTGTAACGCGATCAACTGCCTGAATTTACTGCATCAGTTGAAATATAATTATTAGAATGAATGAATATTTTAATATATTCATTTTATAAATAATTCAAATACATTTGTATAAAAAATATTTTTCAGTACATCTTTGTGCTTTTACTATTTACTGTGTCACTCTATATGTAATCATGAGAATGTATAAAAACTTCAACATATTTGTTTAATAAATAATTGTAATGCATTCTTATAGTAAAATAATTTCCAATGAATTTCTATATATGCTTTCAGTATTTGCTATGCCATTCTTTTTGTAACCCTTAGAATGACTAAAACTTTTGACCAACCTCTTTCGTAAATCCTACCCATGGTATTTGATATAAACAGCTCATTTTTTTTTTTTATAAAGAATCTAACTAGAATGAATGATGAAAATCAGTCTTATTTGTTTTGATAGTAAACATCAATTGAATGCCTTCTTGTCAAGGAATGGTTAACAAGTTGGTCATTGTAGACCATTGCATTAAGACTATAGTGATATGAATCTACACAGAGAGCTCATCACTTGCAGCCTTGTACCATATTGAAATAAACTAAATAAATCTCATTATGTGCAGCTTAATCAAAACAAAAAAAAATCCTTGTATTATTATTCATTTTGATTGAATGATAATTTCCTTCATCTAAATAGATTTTCTTTTTTCTGCTTTATGTCAATTGCCATTCACGTGAATACAATAATAATATTTTTCATATGAAATGAATTATTATATTTGTGTGGACAATATATGACATTTTTTATTTTCTAGCAGACATGACGTCAATAAACAGAATCAATGAAATAAACTCCAATCCTTTTGCCAACTTGGTGCTTATTTAAAAAAAAATACTTTCCTTATATGAAGCATACAAGTCGAATAGCATGAACTTGTTGGGATGTGAAATATAAGAAAAGAAAAGAAGATGAGAAATGCATTTTTCTCTTTAAGAAGGAAAATACATCTTAGTTGATTTTTATAGCAAGAGAATTAAGAAACAGGAAGAAATGATTTACTTACGACACATCAACATGTATGACAAAATCCTGAAGTAACGAGTAGCACAATATTTATTAACATAGAAAATGAAATTGGCACAGAGATTTCAAATTCCAGCTGAGGTAGTTTATATCCATTTTCTATTCATACTCTTGAATCCATTTCTTTTACCCCCAGTATGGGTAAAATAACATGACAGACTTGCTAGGGCAACCAATCTAAGAAAAGAAAAACTTTGAATTCCACCTGGTTGGTGTAAAGCAATCAACTTTACCTCATAAAACCCTGTTACCGAATCTGCAGCAGTATCATCTTACCTGGTGTCATTGTGACCCTCTGCTTAAGGTGGAGTCTACAAGATTCAAAAAGAAGAATTACAAAATTCTAATTACTTGATACATTGAGTAATCAAAAGAAATATTCTGAAATTGCTCAGTTTCTAAAAGATTCTTGTTTTCTCTTAGAGAATGTCTCCCACTCAAAATTGACTAGCAAAGGTACTGCTTAACTTCTATCTTTATATATAGGAACATATGTGAAAGTCTTTTTAATTTACAAAGGGACATTTAGACACACTGAATTTAGCAGCCAATGTTTAAGGAATAAAGTGGCAATACTGAATTTTATTATTATTACTTTTTTTTTATTAGAAAACTTAACACTATCAAATGCTAATCTGTTTACAGCAAAAAGTTTAAGTGTGACAAATGGTCACATAAATTACTAAGAGGGAGAAAGAAATAATTTTTAAAAAGGTATTTAGACTATACATCATTCATCCCACAATTCCACTGATATAAGAAAATCTATTTGGAAAGTATTCAACCATTTTGAATATATTAAGAATGTTTTACATGTAGTCAATCAGATGCTGTATTTCTGTGCATCTGTGAACAAACATTGCCTTTTGGATTACTCAGTAGACAGTCTGAGGATACTAAGGGAGCTTGTGTTATGTATCATTGCTCATATTAATGTTCAAGATTTTATGGCAGGACATCATAGAACTCGGGTTTGTCAGCTCCACAATAATCCAGATTTAGTCTCTCTTGAATATTTTGCTGTTGAAAGGAAGGAAATTTCAGGCTGAGGACAAAATTGTGATGAGGCAATTGAAGACTACAAATGTAGGAGAGGACTTTATAAACTATTTTGAAAAATAGGAGGGAAATTGGTAAAAAGTTTGTGAGTATATTGAAGTGAACTAAAATATGATTATTTTTACATGCACACATTGTGTCAAAAAACTCTCAAGGGTAGATGATGGGCCTATGATTAAATTTGAGGTAAATCCACAAAATCTCCATTTTTCTTCTTAAAGTTGTAAAACAAGATAATTTCTCATTTTCTTGCATGTCATAACAGAGAAAATAAAACTTCAAATACATTTTTAAAGATTATGGATAATATAGATAGATGGGGAAGTACTTTTCTTGTTTGTTTTTTCACTGAATTGAAGTGTTTCTGAATTTTTATATTTCTTCTGTGAGGTTGAAATAAAGTGTATACAAATATTTTCAGACGGATGTAATTCTTCATGCGAAATGTTCATTTTGTATGTTATTACTCCACATTGTCAGAACATCCACTGGAACTCTTTATTTGTGTCTTGCTTTCTTATCAACTTTGATCTTTTAAAATCTAAATACAACATCAATCGTCATCTTTCAACTCCTCAAATCCTGTTCTTGTATTCTCTCAGAGTTTTTTCTCAGATTCTTTCACTCTCAGTAACCCTTTGCGTTGTATTCTTGAGGAAGTCAGCAATTTCTTTCTTGTGGTCAGTTTCCTTGACTTTTTGCTACCATCTCATATAAAGTTGATGATTGCTTAATGATAAAATAGATTGTTTCCTATTTTAATGGATTTGTGATTAGCATAATCAGTAGAGATGAGTGTACTGAGTTCAAATTCTAGCCAAGTTCATTTTTCACACAAATATCCTTGAGGAAGTTAGGAATACATGTCTTC